TCCAATTTCAGATTTCCTTTCTTCCAATTTTAAAAGTTGAACAATCTCTTGAAGCATCTTGTTGTTGCAAGAACTTGCTTTTACTTTTACCTTAAATTTATATGCTCTAATTTTAGCTTTAAAGATTTCAAAGAATCAAAGATTTCAAGTAATCTACTGTTATTATCTTCCACTTCCAGAAAACACTGAACAAAATTCAAAGCCATCATCAAATTCCATGCAGTGAACTTCACGAGAAAGTTGTTTTACGTCCAGAACCGCCCATATACTTGTAACTTTAAAAAGATAGACACCAATCCCTCTTAAATCCAGTGAACTCAAATTCTGGATGAGACCTCAATTGTTAAAATCCCAACTGATTTTATTACTGGAAAAGCCAGATCCCAGACTGATATCTTGCTTGATGGTTTTGTTTTTAATGAGCTGGCCTTGCACTGAAACACAATCACACAATGCTGCATGTCTGGCTTTAATGATAAAGCAGAGGTTTATTCTGCAAAAAAAATGCTATTTATATATAACACAATTTGAAAGATTTGTCAACACCCAGTAAAATACAATAACTTCTATCCCAGCACCAGCATGTTACAGTACTCAAAACAGCAGAGAAAGTTTGTTTCTGTCTCTCATCTTTAAGTTTAACTTAACTGTTTCTTTCCATTCCTAGTGTTGAGAATTTGGTAGCCTCTCCCTTGAATAGTTTCTCAATTCTGTTTAGACTTTCTCAGTTTAAAATACCCCTTCAAGGTTCGAGCTAAATACTTTTGCAAACTAAACCCTTTACTTTGAGGTAACTGTTGCCTAATTTCTCTGAACTAACACCTTTTTTTTCTAGGACCAACTGTTTCATACATCTAACTTCAACTAGGAGTTATGTGAACTGAAACCAAAAGGTGTCCAAGCTGTTGTTTTTTTTTCCCTAAACAAAGAGATATCAATTCCCGATTCGTCTAACTGAAAGCAACCTTGTGCTCCTCAGTGTTTATTCTGCCCACTCGTAAATGGAGACAAGTCCAATTGCTCCCTCCAGGGAGCCCAACTCCCGTACTGATTTTAAAAAAAAAAAGATTCAAGATTCAAAGAACGAAAGGTGATCTTATTGAAACCTGCAAAACATACAAAGGGAAAGAAAGGGTAAATGCAGGTAGTCTAAACCACCAGACACAAAAAGGGGGAAGGATTGTTTTATTCAGAATGTTGTGCATCTTTGGAACCTTGTCTCCAAGGAGAAGCTTGGTTATTCAGCATGTTTGACAAATTTCAAAATAGTATTCTTAAAAGGATATGGAAATACAGTGGGGGAAAAAGACATCGAACTGTATGATCAGCTATGGTGGGCCAAACTAGGCAGGCTGAATGGCCTAGAAATATTGACAATTTAATTGTTAAACTTCCTCAGACACAGGCCAAAACCCACATGCTACTAATTCAAACTCCAAATTCCTAAAATCAGTGATTTTAAAACATGTGTGTAGATCAACCACCTTGTATCACACTGTTGACACCACTGGACGAAAGAACTGAGGATTTTGCTGCTAAGTTTGCAGATGACACAAAGATAGGTGGAAAGACAGGTAGCATTGAGGAAGTGGAGAAGCTGCAGAAGGATTTGGACAGGTTTGGAGAGTGGGCAAAGAAGTGGCAGATGGGATGCAATGTGGGAAAGTGTGAAGTTCTGCACTTTTGTAGAAAGAACAGAGGCGTAGATTATTTCATAAACAGGGAAAGGCTTTGGAAAAGCTTGGAGGGGGCAGGCTAGCGCTGCAGCCTCATAACTCCGGTTTCCTCCCACAGTCCAAAGATGTACAGGTTTGGTGGTTCGGCCATGCTAAATTGCCCATAGTGACCAGGGGTATGCAGGCTAAGTGGATCAGCCGTGGGAAATGGATAGGGGGTGGGTCTGGGTGGAATGCTATTTGGAGGTTTGCTATGGACTCAATGGGCCAAATGGCCTACTTCCACACTGTAGGGATTCTGTGATTCCGAATCTGAAGCACAAAGGAACTTAAGAGTCCTAGTTTAGGATTCTGTTAAGGTTAACATTCATGTTCATTTGGCAGTTGGGAAGGCAAAGGCAATTTTAGCATTCATTTTGAGTGTACTAGAATAGAATAGTAGATATACAGCCTCAGCAATACAAGACTCTGGTCAAATCATATTTGGAATATTGTGAGCAGTTTTGGTCCTTGTATTTAAGGAAGGATGTGCTGGTGTTGGAGGGGGCGCAGATGTGGTTTACAGAAATAATCCTGAGGATGAAGGGCATGGCATGAAGAGCAGCTGAGGATTCTGAATCTGTATGTGATGGAGTTTAGACTGATGGGCAAGCTGATTGAAACTTCGAGAATACTGAGAGGCCTGGGTGGAGTGGTCATGAATAAGATGTTTTTGATAACAGGAGCGACTCGGACCTGAGGGTACAGCTTCAGAATAAAGGGATGATCCTTTGAACTGAAATAAGGAGGAATTTTTCAGCTGGAGGGTAGTGAATCTTTGGAACTTAGCCTTCACAGCCTTCTGTGGCAATAAGTCATTGAGTGTATTTCAGACAGAGAGAGATAAGTTCTCGATTAGGGGGATCAAGGATTACTGGGAGAAGGCAGATGAATAGGGTTGAGAAAGATATGAGCTGTGATCAAATAGTAGAGCAGACTTGAGGCCAGATTCTGTTCCTGTGTCTTATGGTATAGTACCCGATGCATTTGTGCCCAGAGAAACCATTTGAAGAGGCACATGCATTTGGTAATTTTGCAAAACACAGGCACCTAAAAGGCACTGATCTTAGTTGCTGTTCTTATCATTGTTTTTCACTTCATATTTAGCCACTTTGCTTGGAACGGCAGGTGATTTTAGTGCATTTTTAGTTTTGGGCTTTTGCATATGTGGCCTGTTTAACATCATTTCCATTTATGTTGATAGTTTTCTCTTTGCACCACAGAACTTCTGATTCAGGTCAGGTGGTCTTCAGCTCCAGGAGTGGTCACCCTAGTTATGAGATAAAGGGAGGAAGTTGTACAGCTGTACAAGGCCTAGCTAGGTCAGGCTGCACTCTGTACTGTTCTGAGTACAGCGTTTTAAAATTGCATTGCTGGTGTTGGAAGAAATGCAGCACAAATTTACTAAAATATTATCAGGATATTCTATTAATTTGAAGAGGAATTATCCAGAATACAAAGTTTATTTAGAACAAGGAGCAAAGAAAATTACAGCACAGGAACAGGCCCTTCGGCCCTCCAAGCCTGCGCCGATCCAGATCCTCTATCTAAACCTGTCGCCTATTTTCCAAGCATCTGTATCCCTCTGCTCCCTGCCCATTCATGTATCTGTCTAGATACATCTTAAATGATGCTATCGTGCCCACCTCTACCGCCTCCGCTGGCAACACGTTCCAGGCACCCACCACCCTCTGCGTAAAGAACTTTCCACACATATCTCCCTTAAACTTTTCCCCTCTCACCTTGAAATCGTGACCCCTAGTAATTGAGTCCCCCACTCTGGGGGAAAAAGCTTCTTGCTATCCACCCTGTCTATACCTTTCATGATTTTGTAGACCTCAATCAGGTCCCCCCTCAGCATCCGTCTTTCTAATGTAAATAATCCTAATCTACTCAACCTCTCTTCATAGCTAGCGCCCTCCATACCAGGCAACATCCTGGTGAACCTCCTCTGCACCCTCTCCAAAGCATCCACATCCTTTTGGTAATGTGGTGACCAGAACTGTACGCAGTATTCCAAATGTGGTCGAACCAAAGTCCTATACAATTGTAACATGACCTGCCAACTCTTGTACTCAGTACCCCGTCCGATGAATGAAAGCATGCCATTTGCCTTCTTGACCACTCTATCGATCTGCATTGCCACCTTCAGGGTACAATGGACCTGAACACCCCGATCACTCTGTGTATCAGTTTTCCCCAGGGCTTTTCCATTTACCGTATAGTTCGCTCTTGAATTGGATCTTCCAAAATGCATCACCTCACATTTACTGGTAGATCATAGTAATTGTCAGGGGTGATTTGAGGGTTTGTTGAAATTTGTTACCTGTTCTGTTGGAGGCTAAGTCTAGAATGGGACATAATCTTTAAAATCTGAGGCAGGCCATTCATAAGGGAAATTGGAAGCCACTTCCTCACGCTAGAAATTCTAAACTTAAAAAAAAAATCAATTCTAAGTCAACACTAACTTTGAATCTGAGATTGACTTTTGCTTCACAAGGATATGAAAGTATATAAATCCAAAGTTAGTGTGATGGATAAAGATATAGATCAGCTATGCTCTCAGTGAATGACAGATCAGGCTGATCTCCTTATTCCAAAGACTTGGGTGAATAATCTTGATGCAGAACTTTTGTTCCATGCTGCAGAACGGTTGCACTTGCCTAAGGTGCTGCCTTTCAGATGAGATTGCATCTACCTATTCAGGTGAATGTAGAAGATCCATGACACTATTTGATGAAGAAAGGGAGTCTAGTGTTTTGGGGCAATATTTTTCTGCAACCATCACTTAAACAAATTACCTTGTTGCTGTCTGAGAGAACTGGTATGAATAAATTAGATACCGATTTGATTTGATTTATTATTGTCACGTGTAGCAAGAGACAGTGAAAAGTATTGTAAAATACAAATGCAGGATATTGTATTACAGCTGTAGAGAAGGATCAGTTCTAATAAAGGAGAGGTCTGTTCATAAGTCTGATAACAACGGGGAAGGAGCTGTGCATGAATCTGTTGGTACAGGTTTTCAAACTTTTGTATCTTCTTTTTAAGAGGGTGAAAGAGAGTATAATCGGGGTAGGAGGGATCTTTATTATGTTAGTTGCTTTCCCAAGACAGCGGGAAGTATAGATGGAGTCAGTGGTTGGAAGACTGTGTTACAATATTTATCTATATTGCAATAGTGACTGCATCTCAAAAGTACTTCATGGTCTAAGACATGAATGCCGCTGTTTTTAAAGAAAAAATACTTTCAACTTCTCTTTGAATGTTGCCTTTCTGTTTCAGTGAGAAAGAAAGAAATATCAGCAAAGGAAACTCGGCCAAAGAAACCTGACTACTCTAAGAAATGTTTTCCTTGCCATGAGTTTGAGGAGAATCATCAATATAATGCTGTGGATGTATGTACCAAAAGCCAGCGGATTGTCAGACCACCACCAAAGTGGTGGGTAGTACAGCATGCTGATAACCATCTGCAAGACAGATTGAAGGCAGATTATTTGACAGAATTAGATGGCAGTTTACAAGACCAGACGGTAAAACCTTCAAAGTCACAAATGAAGAAGAAGAAGAAGATGGGTTTGAAAATAAGATGTTCACGTGCACAAACAAAGAATATAATACATAGTTCAGAGGTGCAGAATGTCAGTGAAGATGTTTTTGAACATGATTTTTCTCCAACCAGCTCACCACATCACCATTCAAAGCACACAAAGCAACAACGAGCAGCTAATAAATGTAGCAATAGTTTAGTTAGGCCACAAGATCACCAGTCAAAACCCGCAGGGCAGCAGGAAATAACTAATTCAGTTAGGCCATCATGTCGCCAGTCAAAACTCTCAGGGTACCAAGACACAGCTTATCAGCAGGACACTGATTCTGATAGTGTATCAATTAAGAAGCAAAGTAGAAAACAAAAGTATTCTTCTGTGCCATTTGTACCAAAAAAACGATTGTTTTCTGAGGTTGAAGAAGAAAAACAGGGGAAATCCTTGGACATGCGCCTGCCAAACAAACGAAAATCTACACAAAAACTGAAAAGTCATTATTTTGATATGCAGAATGAAAACGAAATCGAGGACGAGTACAGTTCACGTCGAAAACAAGGCTATGTTTGTACAACTTCAAAGAAAACTGAAGGCTATATATCTGCATCAAAGTCAACATCACAGAAATCTTCTCAAGAATCTGTAGCATCCTTTACTGCAACTTACATTGACAAAAAGAGTCCACAAAGACACCTTGACAGTTGCAGGTCTCCGGGAATCCACAACCAGGTTCTAACAAGCCGAAGAAGGTCTGTCACCAATACTGTTGATGAACTTGCAGCAAGGCCCCAGGTATCTGCTGTTACTCCATATCAGGCTGTAATGAGTCCCAGAAGTTATAACACAACAAAGTACCAAGATAAAACTGCTCCCCCTCGGCATTCTGAACAACCAACAGATATGATTGAGGAAGATGACAAAGCAGAACCTAGTACTTCTGTGCAAAGCAAAAGAGCTGTAAGGCAAGGACTTCCTCACAATGATTTGTAAGTAGGCAAACAGGTTCAGTACTTGAATATTATAATGAATCTGCTTTAATTGTAATTTTCACTTATTCTGCTTGTGGGTATTATCTACCATTCAGCTAAAAATGAAAAAATATTTTGAGCTGGTGAATCTTAGTTTTCAGTGCTTCAATATATGTTGCCAGCTCTTAAGAAAAATTAAGATTTATGATACTGTTTCTCCCTACTTCTCTTGCAAGTGCTGGGTTGGTTAGTGTGCGGACCCTGATGTCGCGGTTACTCGACCCAGCTTGTGCTGGATCAGTTACTGGCTGATAGAAGAGTGAAGTGGGAAGAGGAGTGGGAGCCAGTGAGTGGCAGAGATTGAGATGGGTGGCAAGCAGGAGTTAAGTAGAAAATTATTGGAAGTATAATGAAGTTTTGGTCCGTTTAGATTCAAAGCACCCAGTGCATTTTTTAATAATACAGATCAGGAATTCTTTTACATGCTTTTTCATGGAAGGGATGACTATTTAGCCTGTCTTATTTTGTACACTCTTTTTTCAGGATCACATTAGAAGTGTTAAACATGAAATAGTTTTGCTGTTGTAATAAAGGTACTAATGTTACTGCAAACGTTTTGTGGATCACATATACACTTAATGGTAAGGTCCTGGGGAGTGTTGCTGAACAAAGAGACCTTGGAGTGCAGGTTCATAGTTCCTTGAAAATGGAGTCACAGGTATATAGGATAGTGAAGAAGGCGTTTAGTATGCTTGCCTTTATTAGTCAGTGCATCCAGTATAGAAGTTAGGAGGTCATGTTGCAGCTGTACAAGACATTGGTTCAGCCACTTTTGGAGTATTGCATGCAATTCTGAAATCCCTGCTAAAGGAAGGATGTTGTGAAATTAGAAAGGGTTCAGAAAAGATTTATGAGGATATTGCCAGGGTTGGAGGGTTTGAGCTATAGGGAGAAGCTGAATAGCCTAGGACTATTTTCCCTGGATCGTTGGAGGTTGAGGGGTGACTTTATAAAATCAGAACGGGCGTAGATAGGGTAAATAGGCAAGGTTTTTTCCTTGGGATGGGGGAATCCAAAATGAGAGAGCATAGATTTACGGTGAGAGGGGAAAGATATAAAAGGGACCTAAAGGGCAACTTCTTCGCTGAGGTGGTGCATGTATGGAATAAGCTGCCAGAGGAAGTGGCGGAGGCTGATACAATTACAACATCTAAAATGGAATAGGCTTGGTGCAGAGGGCTATGTGCCAAATCCTGGTGAATGGGTCTAGGTTTATAAAGGATATCTGGTTGGCGTGGACAAGTTGGACCAAAGGGTCTGTTTCCATGCTATATATCTCTATGATTGTATGGCTGTATTTGCATGCGTTCTTTTTTGCATGTTACTTGTGTTTTGTTTTATGGGAAATTGGTGATGACTATCCATTGGTAGGTGGTGTTTTCAAAAAATAACTCCTAATATATCCTCCCTCCCCGATCATGTAGGCTGATTTGAGTGAGTTTTAAGATATGCAAGCAGGTGAAGTTAAAGTTATGTATTATTTCATGTTCTATCCTAAAGAGAAATTGTCTGCTCATAATTTTCTATTAAGTATTTGAAGAATAACAAGTTGAAGAATGTTTCTTTTTTTATTTTTAGGCCTGTTTTTAATAAGAGTGGGCCAGGGCCATGTGCGAATTATGAAGAGGAGTCCTCTGATCCAGGTGATCATGAAGATTTTGAACACGGAGAAATAATGGGTAGGAATAAAAATATTCTGTGACAGTTATATGTTCGTTTAAACATCAGAAGTAACATTCTTTCAAAAAAATTTAAGTCATTGTTATAATTTTGGTTGAATGAGCGTTAGCACTTCTAGCCCTCTACTATTTTGTCTAAAAACTGATTATTTGTGCATTGGTAGATTATTTCAATATTTGTTGGCTGTTGAGTAAAGAGGGATAAGCACGTACCTAGCTAAATCTGAATCTGACCTCATCTGATCTTCGCTCTAGTTACTTGTCCAACAAGAATCACGGAACATCACAAGTGGAAATTGTGTCCAATTTATTTTTCTTTGCTGGCTGGACAAGTAGAAGTTGTTGTAATGATCTCTACTACTACCTTAACTACTTCTAAATCTAAACTGAATCAGACATGGGATTCTGTTCTGTAGCATTTACTTCTATTTGATCCTTTTAACTTCTTGCCAAAGTTTCCTCTTTCCTTTGTCACTGCCAGGTTTCTTGGATAATACTTTGTTTCACTTTCATGTTGTCCTCTTGCTTATGTCAGGTGGGTGTGGTTCTGTTAGTCAATGTCTATTTCCAGTACACAGTTGAATCAAACAGATTTTTCCCAATGATGGAATTGAAATGGTTATTGTCTTCTAAAGCTCACGTGACTTTCAGAAGTGTGATCTGTGCAAGCAGGTCTGTAATAGTTTCTTGAGAAATATTTTGGACTCCTTTTCTAAACTTGTGTCCACGGTGGACTGAAAGTGTCCTTGAACCGAAGAGATCCAGTGTGCCTACCAAAATAAAATTAATTCACTGGGTGTATTCAGAGGACTACCACCATGATCCAAACAACTTAGTTTGATTGAATAGCAGAAAAGTAGGAAGAAATCTCTACAGGTACTTATTTGTGGCCTCTGGTTCTGAATGAAACTCCAAAAGGGGATTTGGTTGACCCTGTTGAACTGCATCCAGTTGATATCAGAAGTTGAATTGCTTTCAAAGGGAGAAAGATCACAGGGGCATTTCAATGTAAGCTCTTCATTCATCCTTTTCTTTCTTTTAGACTTTGGTGATGCCAGTGATGATGACGGTTATACGAAAGAGAGCAGCAGTGAGGAAAATGGTCAGTTTATTACGAGTTTAAAGCTTGTACTCTATTATAAAGCAAAAATGCATTGAGTTACTGGTGATAGTATAATCATTTTGACTTGATTGTAAGCACTGTTGTTTCTAAATCAGAAGCCCGTTGGTTAAACTGATCTGACATAACTGCACATCCTTAAGTACCTCTAATTAACACAATTCACTCAATCACTACATTAAAATTAACATTACAAATGGTAGTTGAGGCTGAATCAGGAAAAGTTGAAAGTTTCAACCACACTTCGGTCAAAGTCCTTCCAGACTGCACTGCTGAAAGACTATGTTCCTTTAGTCCTAAACTCACTAGCCAGTGTTCTCTACACTGACATTCCTCTTAATGTCTTGAAAACTTAATCAAATCTCTGTTCACCTATCTAAATTCCAGGAAATACAAACCCAGTTTGTAGAATATCTCCTCGTATTGTAAATTTGCAGTCCAGTTATCATTTAAGTAAATGTATTTCCTTAAGCAAACTTTGTTTAATTGTCACTCTTGATAAACTGGCAAAAATTATATCTCTCAAATACCATGATCTACTATGATGTCTGAGTGTTTATGCTGTAAATAAGGCATAACGGTGATGTGTATACTTCCTGCATTACATTTCTGTTTGTTAAAGTTTGTTTTTTCACTTTGATTTTAACAGGTGTGTCAATGTTTTTACATAGACCTTTTGAGGGATGTTGATGTCTCAAAGCTTCAATTGGTCAAGGTTTACTGTGGTTATGGGTACCTCTTGATCACCCGGTATACCCCTGGTCCCATAGATGCTAGTTAATAAAAAAATTTTGCTGTACCTCTGTCCTCCCATGTGGTGCACAAAATAGTCTCACGTTGTAGCCATGTCTTTGTATTGCGATATTGTTACTTCTACCCCTTATATTCTAGTCCTTAAGATATATATGCAGCATTCCATTGGACATTGATCATTTTCTGTACATGTCCATGATATTTTGGTATTTAATGCACCTGGATCTTTAGGCCTCCAATGTTTATGGCTTTTCACCATCCAGAATATACAGGGAGGACCAATTTGTGAGTGCAATTCAATACGGGGGAGTAGTTTTAAAGACCAGACATATGAACATATTCTGTACCTATGAACAGCTGTTCATATGTTGTCTTGCATTATGTTCCAACTTGCATGAAGTCAACTCACAAATGGACTCCAAAACAGAACCTATTTGCAACTTGGGGGTACCTTGAACCACCTCTCCCAGATTTTCATTCTATCAATTTCGCTTGTACTTCCTCTTTACGAATATTAATTACTTTTATATTGTGCCTCATACAATGGAGACGAGTACAAAGTACTTCGCGAGCAATTTTGCTGTTTTCCTTATTCCTCATTATATATATTTTTTGCCTCGCTGATAAGGAACCCATGTTTTACTTGATACTTTACTCATCAGTTTTGAGGAAGGGCCACTCGACCTGAAATGTTTACTCTGATTTCTCTTACAGATGCTGCCAGACCTGTTAAGCTTTTTCAGCAATTTCTATTTTTGTCTCTTTTAGTTTCATATGTTTACAGTCTCTTCTGTTTTTAACTTCTTTCTAGTTTACTTTGATCGTCTGTTCTTTTCCTGTTTAATAATTTCTTTCACAATTCTTTATTGATTTCTAAAACCCCCTCAATACTCAGCTACTTTTTTTTTTATAACTGTAAACTTTTTAAAATTCAAACTTCTTTAGTTACAGTGATAGTAGGGACTGACTATGCTGGAGTCTGAGATAACAAGGTGTAGAGCTGGATGAACACAGCAGGCCAGGCAGCATCAGAGGAGCAGGAAAGCAGTAAAGGTGCTTGTAGGTAGGGAGTTCACTGACCTCTCTGACCAACCCCCACCCCCAC